ATGCCCGGTCGGGGACAAGGGTCTCGAGAATACCGCGACCGTGGAAGGGCCTGTTAGCTTGTTTAAAGAGGTTAAACATAACTACCCTTAGTGTGGAAGCATACATCTTAACCTCTAACAGCATTTTAAAATTATAGAACTTCATCAGCGTGCCTTCAAAACGATAAGTCCTCTGGCGTCGGTCATCCGCAATGGTGTCAAGAACTGTCTGCAGGTTGGGTCCTTTAGCGTTGCCAAAGCGGGAAAAATAGGCGCGCTGGAGTCGACCAGTCGCCTTGCGAAATTCATGATTGCTCTTGATCACGTCTAGAAGCTCGCCCAGCGTTCCCAACCGTACGTAATACGTTACGACTCGCCAAATCGATGGTCGTAACTTCTCAGATTGTGAGTACGTTTTAACGTAAGCATGACATTTAAGTCCACTTACAGAGCGTAACTGTTACGATTCACATTTCTCCTACGTTTCAACGTTTCGCGAAAAGTTACGTCGTAACGGCTTGTATATAGTCCGCTAAGGACGACAATTCACTGTGAACACAGCGCTGACGTAGCCAGTTTTTCTGCAGTTGAAGAGCCTTAATTGTTGGGCCAGAGAGCTTATTTCTGTCACAGGTAACAGTCCTCCTACTGCTGCTAAAGCTCCTCTCACAGTCGCAGCTTGTGGATGGGATGGACAAGAAGTCAAGGGCAATTTTGTATAGCGTAGGATAGGCAAGCTGTCTAACTTGTTCCCACCATGTAAGAGGATTAGCAAACAGAGGGCTATCGTCCTTGGCTATAGTAAGGTTAGGGTTAGGGTTCAAAGCCCTTGTCATGATACTCGCCACCTGGTAACTTACGTCGCGTGGATGGCAGTTGCTTGTTGTTCTCTGCCTCTGCCTCTGCCTTGGTATTGACGTACTCTTGAAAAACAGCCCTTATTGAAGCCTCAGCTTTCTTATGCTATGAGGGGTGCTTGCGCTAGTGGTCCTTAAACCAAAGGAGACGAAGCTGAGGGTTGAGGATAGTCGCGACGCAATAATAGGATACAGGCGGCTCTATAACAAACTTCTCCCAGTATGTAAGCAACTTCTCTGTGCTAAATGCTACGCCAGATTTGAGGTAGCAATCGTCACTCTCACCCTTAAGTTCATCCCCCATCTGGAGAAGCTTAGTATATAGGTGTTGCAGGTTGATGAAACTGGAGAGGAAGACAATAAGGCCTTTGACCTGGCAAGGCGACGAGAACTAGCATGATGAGATACGTTAGTTTGCTGGGAAGAGCTGGCTCTGGAGGATCCTTGGGATAAAGCAGTACGCCTGCCGCGCTGGAGGAATTGGGACATTTGGCTCATGGTGGGTGGGACAATGGATGTGGATGAATTGATGACGATTTACAGGCCAAAAAGCTGACTATTTACATAGGATAGCACACCTCACTCCCAGCCTCCGCCGCGAGCGCTGACGTCCCACAAACCTCAGAGTTTTCACCCGATTGTTACTCTAAGAACGTGACCTCAAACACGCTCCTGACGCGATCCCACATGTGTCCAATCAGGTCCTATTTTGGTAGGAAAAGTCGCCTTTTTGAGACGTACTACGGTCCGTAATGGGCGCTCCTCCAGTCATACGTTACGACTCATATCTCTCCTACGTTTCAACGGCTCACGTGACTGTTACGGGTCGTATACTACGACTTGTAGTACGTACGGTTGGGAACCCTGAGCTCGCCCTGGGTCGCATTGAAATACGGAGCCAACTGTGTGATACTCTGTGTAGCCGCATATGGAATGATTTTGCTAGTCTTAGTGTCCCGCCTAACTACTTCAATGTCCTTTAAGTTTTGGTCCGATTTAGCAAGCTTGTTAGTGATGGACTTCTTAATAGCTTTGGCCTGGGCTTGCTCCTCTAGCTGTTCGTTCTCGAAGAATGCGTCTATGGCAGGATCTAGTTTAACCCCATGGTAATCTTGAAACTCGGAGGAATGGCGAATTGGGGAAGCTGACTAGGATATAGAATTGGTGTCTAGATATGGCGAAAGGCTGCGGGTTTAGAGCTGACCACGCTGCTCCCTAGGCTCTGCCTGACCATAGCTGGAAGATGCACCTGGATCCATAACCCTGTTACGATGTTAGCTAAGCCTAAACCCAAACAGGTATGAGTTCACTAGGGAACTTAATAATGTTATAAAATATGCGGGATATGTACTAGGGTAAAGAGTTAGGCATAAGCACTAATTAGAGGGGGGGAGAGGGATAAGTACTAAAGGGGAAGGGGGTTTAGCCTTAGGTACCGGTACATAAAGCCAAACCTCCCCTTTCCCCTCTATTGGCTCTAGCCTAGGCATACTGCAATGAAAAGTCTAGCGAATATGGAAAACACTTACTAAATCTTAGGGGCCTGGCCCTAATATTAGACTTGGCTGTTTCTGGCTGGTTCCTGGGCAGGTTTGTTGGAGTGCAATGGGTCGTTTCCACCGCAGTGGGTGGCAAATAGGGGTGAAGGATATGGAGACGAGGGGAGGGAGGGGGGGGCTTTCGGGATAGGTACCGCCTCGAAGGGACTTAGGGAAAACGCCACACTTGCCGGAATTAGCTAATTAGAACTTCGGTACGCCGCGCTGGTTAGCGCTGGCCTGCAAATAACTTACAATTGCTCTTTTAGTTGAAATTATTCAAATTCGCCGAAATTGCACCCGTCCTCGTCGTCGTCGTCGTCGTCGTTGTCGCCGTCGTCGCTGCTGCTGCTTCTGCTGCTGGAGCGGAGAGTAGTGGATTGTAGAGGTGAAAAGAGCTCATGAGGTCGCAAATAGTTGTTTATGGCTAGCGCGCGTGCCAAGCCTATATGTAGTCAGTGCATTAGCGGTGACAAGTAGGTACCTATACCGAAACCCCCCCTCTACCCCCTAGCTATCTCCTTATCCTACACGTTAGCTAGACCCATGCCAAGCTGTTCAGCTACACGTTGGGACAATAAATGAAACCCCTGGCCAAAAATGTAATAATTGTTTTGCGTTGACCTTAAAAGAGTATCCTGTATAGGGTTTAGCGCATTTTACATCATGACGCATGCTCTATCACAGTGAATTTACCTGTCACGTGTGCTACTGCGTATATACATGTTAAGGAGCGGACAAAGTGAGGGGGTTTAGCGATACATACCGGTACTTATACCGAAACCCCCACCTCCTCTTCCTTCCACCCCCTCTCCCTCCCCCTCCTTCTTCTCTTCCCTTCGGCCATCTCCCGCCTATAGGTTTACACTGTGGCTACGCTAATCATTTCATAGATCTTACTATCAGCTCTCCCTAATAATACCTGAGCAACGCTTAACCCATATGCTATTGTAACTGTGGAATATCATCCTAATTAACCCTGCTGGAGTTTTCTGAAGAGACATTAACTTATTGCGCATCTGCAGTAAGTCTTCTACACTGCGGAGGGATAATTCACTATTTCGTGGACTATCTCGGTTTCCACGCACTACTACCACCCACCCTAGCTCTCGCAGCATGCGGTTGCTTACCCCTTTGTGCTCTATATCCTGTAGTTAGTGTCGCACGTGTCTCACGCGATATCATACCCATGTACTGCACTATTCACTCATTAGGCATAGCTCCTATCTCGTACAGTATATAGTCAGCTCAGAGCTCTATCGAGCTCCTCAGACCTTACAATACACTCGTTTAATCCACCTTGTTTGGATCTCACTACCTTGTTGACTTGCCTCCCATATGACCCCTCCTCAGCTCATGCAAGAAAAAGCCTTAATGCGGCTAGCACGCCTTACTAAGTGCGCAATGCTATTCCCGACTACCTACCATACGTATGCATACTATATTACGGAATCTAGCTTGCAGGGCCTTTACGAAACGTTTCTGTCTATTATCTATGTACTACTGACCGCTGGAGGTGGGTGCTGTTCAATTCCACCAAAAACCCAAATGCGGCAAGCGCTTAATGCCAGCCAAGTACCATAATGCTATTCCCGACTACCCACAAACCATACGTATGCATACTATATTACAGAATCTGGCTTGCAGAGCCTTTGCGAAACGGTTCTGTCTATTATCTACGTACTACTAACCGCTGGAGGTGGATGGTGTTTGATTCCACCAAAAACCCAAATGCGGCTAGCGCCTAATACCAGCCAAGTACCACAATGCTATTCCCGACTACCCACAAACTATATGTATGCATACTATATTACAGAATCTAGCTTGCAGAGCCTTTGCAAAACGTTTCTGTCTATTATCTATGTACTACTAACAGCTGGAGGTGGATGGTGTTCGATTCCACCAAAAACCCAAATGCAGCTAGCGCCCAATGCCAGCCAAGTACCACAATGCTACTCCCGACTACCCACAAACCATACAGATGCATACAATATTACAGAATCTAGCTTGCAGAGCCTTTGCAAAACGTTTCTGTCCATTATCTACCTACTACTGACCGCTAGAGGTGGATGGTGTTTAATTCCACCAAAAACCCAAATGCAGCTAGCGCCCAATGCCAGCCAAGTACCATAATGCTATTCCCGACTACCCACAAACCATA